TTTAATTTCTTCTAAAGCTATGGAATCTCAAACGCTAAATTCCGACTTCTTTAAGATGATGCAAACCTGGAACAACTTGGAGGTTTTGAAGTGGTGTATGAACAAGGGACTTATTAAAAAGGATCAATATTGTGACCGATGTAGAAATTTAATGAAATTGTCAACCGCAAAACTGAAGAGTGGCTACATATGGAGGTGCAGAACATATGGCAAAAATAGGCATGAAACCAAAAAATCAGTAGGTAAAGATTCCTTTTTTGAAAATTCCAAACTAGATTTGGCCAAACACTTGTATTTAACAGCTCTATGGGTAGAAAAACGATCCTTTAATGAGATATTGAAAGAATCTGGGGTAGCAGTAATGACGGTCACGGATTGGATGGCTCTCTGCCGGGAGGTGTGTTTATCCATAGTGCTCAACTGGCCCAAAAGTGGGGCCAAGACCGTTCTGGTTGATTGCCATCAATTTCCGGAAAAAGGATTCCTCTACTGGGCAATCTGTTTAATGGAGGAAGACTCGGGCAGATGTTATTTCTATGCTGTCATGGATAAAAAGTTGAGCGTACTGGATAAAGTGTTGAAGATTTATTTTGAAGAGGGTGCCCAAGTAGTGGTGAACAGCTTGTCATCTTACACTCAAGACTTCCAGACGGAGTCGTACATAGTGAGCGACATGCCTGAAGATACTAAGGCCGAGAATGAGCCAGTATTTCAGAAAATATGGCACGATCTTAAAAAATCCATTCTAGGCAAAAGGAAGATGAGTCACCATCTTCCCTACTACTTATCCGAGTATATGTGGAGACAAGCCACCGACCCCGAGGAACTGATGACAAGTTTCCTTGAAGGTATTAAGAATATAAAAAATCCTCCTGAAGATGATACCCTCCCTTCAATATGTTAACGAAAATCATGTAAATAACATATTCTAACCCTTTTTAGAGGGAAAAATAGAACACTAGATCTCCACCTCACTTTTGGCAAATGCAACGACGATTAAAGAAAATAACACTGTAAATATACTTTCATCACTAACTAAATAAACCATTTTTAGAATTAGCCATAGTCGAGCTACTTGGAAATAATGTTTAATATATACTTGATACATACTTATGTGTTTATAAATTTTAAAAAATTGCAATCTACTATAAAAATTTTAACATTTATTTTTTTCTTGCAATATGTTTCTTTTTTTTTTTACATATATCATGAAATATTTATCCTACTCACCTTTACTGCAATTTTTGGGGGTCGGTGGAAGGCTGGTTAAACCGTTTGGTTTACGACCACTACGACCCGGGTTCGATCCCCGCATTGGACACTTTTTTCTGTTTAAAAAAAAAAAAAATGCTCCAAGGGTGTGAATATTTTGAATATTAACAATAGCGCCAATTTTATATTTACAATTATTTGTACAATGTGTAAACATTGTACAAATAATTGTAAATATAAAATTGGCGCTATTGTTAATATTCAAAATATTCACACCCTTATTTCACAAAATTTATTTTGTCCATAATATAAATATATATATATATATAGGTTTTTAACTTTTAATTAGACAATTTTAATTTATATTTAGACATTTTCCATTTTAATTTAGACACATCGACTTTTCTGTAAAAAGGCCATGTCTCTAAATTAAAATGAAAAATGAAAAGTGTCTAAATTAAAATTGAAAATGTCGAAATAAAAATGAAAGTGTCTAAATTAAAATGAAAAATGTCTAAATATAAATTAAAATTTTCTAATTAAAAGTTAAAAACCTATAGAGAGAGAGAGAGAGAGAGAGAGAGAGAGAGAGATGTAACCTGGGCTCCTGGAGCGCAAAACGCCAACTACCCGGGCTGTCCAGCAGTCTAGTTTAGAATACTAGTCACGTCCTGTACGGGTTGCTGAGCTAAACCAGTCCACCAGGAAGTTCCATGCTGGCAGAGTTTCTGGTAGGCGGGCCAGTGATGAGGAATCGAAGTCTGCCTGTCCAAGCAGTAAAGCCGTTTGCGTCCTGGGAAAGCCCGGAGACGGCCAGTTGAAACGAGCGGGGAGTTCTTGAAGAAGCACGATGTCAGCTTGAGTCGTATTGGCAAGATCAGCAAGCTCCAAGATGGCGGAAGGAGACCTGTGGGCATTGGCCTGCAAGATTCTTAGGGGTCTAGACATGATTCTTGGATTGGGCGATTTTCGCCTTCACAAATGGACACAAGGAAGATGTAGCCAGATGGTTGATGGCAGCACCAGCTTTTTTACTGCAGCGGCAGCAGCGTGCCTGGCTTGCCTCGACGGCGCACTGTTTGCCTTCGTGCTCAGTAGACCCGCATTTGTAGCAAGTCGGATGGGCAGCAGTGCAGTAAGGGGCTCGGTGTCCAAATCCGCAGCAGCGGAAGCACTGTTTCAGGGAGTGACTCCTCTCAAACCTATGCATTAAGCCCGCTATCGGAATCCGTCCTTGTTGTCCCAGAATTTCAGCTACCTTGTTATCCACCTCCACGAACACTGTAGCAGCGCCCCGTGCATTGTTTCCAGAACGGTGCACCACCTTGATGGAGCGAAGACCTGGCAGGGATTGGATGGCGTGGTTGGAGGAAAGACCAGTACAAATCTCCTCATCGGACACATTGTTATCGACACTGAATAGGCAGTATCTCGGTAGAATGGTAGGGCGCTCATGGCAGGACAGGCTAGATGGGAGTGTGGCCAATTTAGATGCCAGGTTTTTGGCCACTTCGTCCGTGCTGGTATGAAGTACCACTTTGCCACTGGAGTTGATGGAGGCTACCATGTCCTTGGAGGTTGTGAGTGAAGGGTCAGCCTTTTGAATTTCCTTCAGAATATCCCTCGGGTTCGCTTTGGGATCGACCGACCTCACGACGACATGAGATTTGAAGGAGGGGGCTAGATTTACAAAGGCGGGCTTTGATTTGGTTATTGGAGGTGTAGTCATACCCGGCTTGGCTTCAACTGCCGCAACAGAGGCGAAAGATGTGGAGGGAGAAGGAGCGCTTTCTGTAGGCTGAGGTCTGCTATAGCTAGCACCCTTGAAGGCATCTTCAAGTAGAAGTTCAGCTTCTTGAGCGACGCTTAGCAAGAGACCCCTGGTAGCCATGTTTTTCTTGGAAGGCGAGTCAAGGCTGGAGTCAGCAAGAATGGAGAAAAAAAAAAAAACCTATATATCAATTTTTTTTCTCCCCATTGAATATAAGCAAACATATTTTTACAAACTTAATTCTATTGACGTTATGTGGCGCTGAGTTTGTTGTTGAGACTCACATTAATGTTATAATACCTTGAAAAAGGTTAATGTTCAGCCAACTGAAATATTGGTAAAATAAATGATATTTTGACCCAATATATGCCATTTTAATTAAATAATCGCATTGTATATATTAATCTATACAGTTATCAGAGTCATCAAGCAACAATTCTTAATAATCAATTCTGTCACCGTTTGCTTTTGTGAATGGAATAAATACCCAAATATGGCCATTTCTCATAACCATCGGTGGTTCAGTGGTAGAATGCTCGCCTGCCACGCGGGCGGCGGGTTCGATTCCCGGCCGATGCATTTTTTTTTTACAATTTTTAAAACTCATTTATATATTATACAAGAATTAAATCCACGGCGCCAATTTATAATTGTAACGAATAGTATTTGAATAAAAGCATTTAATCGGGCTTTGCCCGGGTCATTCGGCTAGTTTATATATAAAAATAAATTTTATTTAAAAAATATCTAAAAAAAAAATATCGACTCAACACAAAAACATAAATGCATCTTAAAAGAATACCTATTTTAAATTGAAATACTAAAAAAAAAAAAAAAACGATTCGATTATATATAAATATATTTTAAAATTTATATGGAGTATATATATAAAGCTTTAAAAAATATAATAGGATTTTTGCTAGTCGCACGTGAACAACGTAGAATTTTGAAATTTATTTTCAAGCCTCTAAATATAACTTGGCAACGAAATAAATTCTTCTTTTACGATATCTTATTTAATGTTGTGTTTATTTATTTATCCTATGTGTATATTTGCGTGTAAATTGTTGCAATATTTAGGTACTTACAGCTTGTATGAAGGCATGAGGACGTTGATGATTATATAATAATAAACTTTATTATCCATTTAGTAAAAGAAAGTTATAGTAGCGAACACATTAACAGTGTAGATAACTGGCCAATGTGGCGCTAGCTGTAGTCGTAGCATTCAGTTTCCAACTTATTTAAATTTACATTTTAGAGCAATAATTATAAAGTTTATATACATATTAGATATCATTTTATAGTTTTTATATAAATTAATAATTTTAAAATAAAAATACAACTTTTCGCAATGAATTCGAAAAGAAACTCATTGCGAAAAGTTGTATTTTTATTTTAAAATTTGTAGCGCAATTTTTTCGTTTACTTCAAATTAATAATTATCAATATATTACAATAATTGATCTCTAAAAAATGGCAGAAATATCTTCTTCTATATATATAAAAATCAATGTTTGTATGTTTGTTTGTTTGTATGTCCGGTATACAAATTCGCAGTAGTTCACTAATTCAAACCAAAATTTCCATACATAGGTAAAAAAAATACGGGGAAGACGATAGGCTATTTTAAAAATATATATAAATCAATTATTAAAACTATATATTCAAATTATTCTACTTAGCTCACGAACAGCGCCCTCTATCAAAGATTAGATTAAATTATGCTGATGCAAACAAATAGACAATGCTAATAACAAACAATTATTTTAAAAAATCTTATCTAAATATATATCACTCGGGTAGATATGCACACGGGTCAATTCCGGGGCGAAGCCCGGGTCACCCGTCTAGTATATTATATAAAAAAAAATTATACAAATTAAAAAGCTATAATTTTAAATTCATTAGTGTAATTTAGGTCCACGGTAGTTGCGATATAGTATGTATAACTCTTGTTAAATTTTATATATTCTTTACTGAAAACCATTTGGCTTATATATATATAAACTGGCACCGTTCATTTGATATTATACTCTCAGATCTGCAACAAGTGGGCACCTGATTAAAATATAGAGAGTTGGAGTCCAGAATCTCTGGAATTTGATCAGACGTGTATCTAAGAAGGTGTTTTACTGTGTTTGATTCTTTAGCTGACAGATTAGGCAGAATGGGTCACATTAGAGAGTCTGATAATTTCATATTGTTCGAAGCCGTATCCTTTTAATATCGTAGATGTGGTGTTGCATAGTTTAGGTTTTGGAAGTATGGGGATTATAGGACTGGGAGATGCCTTCACTCTTCTGAGGTATTATGTGGAGTGGTCTGTTGCGTATTAGGTCTGTTCATAGCATAGAGCTAACTCTTTGCTTCGGGAGAATTTATTGGGAAGGGTTGCAAAGTGAAAAGGTAAGTTGGAGAGAGAGTGCTGCCATTTTTGCGAGTTGATTCGCTAGTTTCGCTCAATGTGGTATGACTACAGACCCTATTGAACTGTACACCATTCAGAGTGTTTATTTTTGTAATTATCTCCACAATAAGTGGGGTTCTTGAGATTACAGGATGGCGTGTTTAGCTGTAAGATAATCAGATACAATTACATTGTCTTGTCTCGGCAGTGCGGCAAATAATTTTTAAGACTCGCGCTAGATAAAGGCCAATAGCAGAGCCAGTTATGAAATTGCGCATGCGTATATATATTCGAAGCCTTATCTAGCGCGTGGCTTTGTTTCAGCCATTTTGGTTAACTCTTTAAAAACATACAGGCGATTTTTGAAAAGTAAAATTTTTTGTTCGTCGGAATTCTGAGATGGAACAGAGAGCGGTCATTAAATTTAATGCAAAACTTGGTAGAAGTGCATCGGAAACATATATTTTGATGAAGCAAGTTTATGGTACGTTATGTTTGAGTAAATCAAATGTTTTCATTTGGCACAAACGTTTTTCGGATGGAAGAAATACGCTAGAAGATGATAAGCATACTGGACGACCAAGTTCTTCAAAGACACCAGAAAGTATAGAAAAAGTGCGAGAATTTGTTGAAAACAATGATGGCAGAGGTTTTACACATCAACAAAGAAACGATTCGAACCATTCTGCATGAAGATTTAGGTAAAACTAAAGTCTGTACTAAATTTGTTCCACACACTTTAACGGGCGAGCAGAAATCAGTGTGAATTGCACATTGCAGGGACATCATTTCTGCCTATGAAAATAATTCAAACTTCCTGAAATCAATTGTTACGGGTGATGAAACATGGTGTTTTCAGTATGACCCAAAGACAAAGCGCCAAAGTGCCGAATAGAAGTCAAAAAAACTCTCCACAAGCCAAAAAAACGCGAAAAGTGCCATCAAAAATCAAAACAATGCTGATTACCATTTTCGATAGTAGAGGTATTATCCACAAAGAATTTGTTCCCGCTGGACAAACCATTACTGGAGAGTATTATTTAAACTTTTTGAAACGTTTGATTGCCAAAATTCGTCGCATTCGTCCAGAATATCGCGATGAAGACAGTTGGTGTTTGCTGCATGATAATGCACCGAGTCACTCCTCACTCATTGTTCGTCGCTTTTTGGCCAAAAATAACGTCTGTGTGTTGAATCATCCTCCGTACTCGCTTTATTTAGCACCATGTGACTTTTATTTATTTCCAAAAATAAAATTGAAGTTAAAAGGTTGTTTTTTTTTTTATGATATCCCGACCATCCAGAGAGCTGCGACGAGCACTTTGGAGGCGATTCCTCAAAGTGGCCTGCAAGAGGCATTTAATTCCTTATTAAATCGTTGTAACATATGTATTGAATCCAGAGGGGATTATTTTGAATAAAAAATAGTAGAAATTGAATTAGCTTGTTTATGTTTTATTTTACAAACCCATTCTTAAAAATTATTTGCCACACTGTATATGTCCAGGAATATGTTCTGGTAGCGTACAGGACGACCAATAGTTCGAACTAGTAGGAGTTACAATTATCGATGAAAACATTTAAGCATAATTTTTTTCATTTTCTGTGTATAGATGGCAAGTTATTGCTTTATATCAATTATCGATTAGTTTGGTGTATAGGAAGGTATGAAGGTACTACTGCTGCGCCAATGCCATTAGATGACCGAGAGCCATTGGTGCAAACACTGGTGAACTGATGGTGTCATAGAAAGTTGGAGGGACCTTCTAAGAGGTGGTAGAATACCAAGAAATACCTAAGACATGTCTCAAAATTGCCGTCTTTAAACGATCTAAAGTAAGTTAATCGAGCTTTGATGGATATATCCAGTTGAGGACAGTCTGATTTGACTTCAAACATCGATCTTTCTGGTCAAATGGTTCTACTCAGCAACCCATTCAGACCGCGATTAAAACTGCCTGTCTACTGCCTACTCTATACTAGTCAGCTAGGGCTGGGGTCGGTAAACTGCGGCTCGCGAGCCACATGCGACTCTTTGGATGTGAAGCTCTTTATATAGTTCCATACGTAAATTTTATTTATGCGAGAGCTATTTATTATTGGCAAGAAAAAATTGTATAGCTCTTTAAAAACTTTGAAATTTTGTAAATTGTAATTTTTGACTTTTCCGACTCAAAAGTTTGCCGACCTTTGAGTAAGGCAATCTGTGCCTCAGAAACTCTGCTTATTCCTATATCTGCGTCCGTAAAAACTGTCTTAATCACATGAACCTCTGTTTTCTAACCATATTTCACGTCATTTCCCGAAGTGGCCGCTTAAGACAGGGTTTATATAGTATATAATAAGATCATGTTTCTTTTTTTTTTTTGTAATAATTTCATGAGGACAAAGAATAAATCTCCAATCCATGGGCCCTGTACAAGTTTTACAGGGCTGCGCAAGAGAAAAAAAAAACATTAAAAGAGCCATATGTAAATGAACGATCACTTGTAAATAACTAACTCATCTTTTCTAAACAATTATGCACCTGGGTGAATCCTGTATAGTACATAGGTCCCCAATAAAAGGCTTGTTGTTGTTGTAATTATTTCAAAATAGCACGAGCTTTTTTTTTTTTTTTTTAATTAGAAGCCTTTGAAACTATTTTAAAAGAGAATACGATATACAAGTAAGGTAATCCTAGCATATCTTTCTGTGTCAAAAATGACTATTCAAAACCCGCTTGACTTTATAAAATTATTGCTTTTTTTTTTCGCTTTTTGAAACTAGAAATATGTAGTAAAACCACTCTTGTAAAAATGGATTTATCAACAAATAGTTTCAATAAACAGGTGTGAAAAAAATATTTTTTTCTATAGAAATTTTAAATTAACGAATATTTCCTTAAGATTTTTTACAAATTGATTTAGCATAGTATACCAAGAGAGAAAATAAAAACCTTTTTGTCAAGGACGAGGTGGCCGAGTGGTTAAGGCGATGGACTGCTAATCCATTGGGCTCTGCCCGCGTGGGTTCGAATCCCATCCTCGTCGTTTTTTTTTTTTTTACTTAATATATATTCTTAAAAATCCCGATTGTGCAACCACAAAGGTTACTGCATTTTGCTTAATAGAAGAAACTTGCAGCATATTTTGAATCAGAATGTTAATATGAAGGTTCCACGCTACCA